GGGGTGGAGCTGGTAGTACCCAAGTATGAAGGTAGAAGGGAGCATGCTCTGAGGCCATGGCAGGAACAGGGCTCCACAGCAAATGCTGAAAGTGCACAGACTCAGGGAGAGGTCAAGGGAGGTAGGGGTGGAAGGTCCATGCTGAGTTAGGAATAATGAGGTGGCCAGGCCATCCATGCCAAGCTTCCATGGAGTGCAGGCAGGTCAGTAGCCCACTGTCCCCTGCCAGAGCCTTCCTGGCTGAGGCAGACCCAGCTGCCTTCTGTTGTAAGCGCTCCCCTCCCCAGCCCTCTCTCTCAGTGTCTCCTTCACCACTACCACAAAGGACTGTCTCATAGGGGTGGGAGTTTTACAAGAACATATGCATTTCTACAGCTAATAGAACTCTACATTTAAGGTATTTTACTGCATGGAAATTACATCTCTGGCTTAGAAATTAAGTGACATATGCCTGAGGCCAAGCATCTGAGCAGGTCAAGCAGCTGGACTCCTTGCAAGGAGATGGTCACCTTGACTGCTTTGGGACTGCTGGCCTCTCTACTATCCAGCCAGAGACCCTGGACACAGGAGGATGTGGATTCACCTTACTAGAAGCAAGAAGGGGGCAGGGTCCAGTTCTAACTCTGGGTACCCCCCAGTTCTAGCTGGGTTGACCCAGAGCTGGAGGCCAAGGACCACCCTCATGCATACTCTCCAGGCCAATGTACACCTCTTGTGTCTCTATTTATTAAGAGAAAAATGGCATTTTGTGATATGATGTCCAAGATTTGCTTCAAAATAACAGAGAGGCCTGGTGCAGTGGCTCATGCCTGAGCCAGCCTCCAGTGAAGGGATCCTCACTCTACTTTTGTGCACATTTGGTATTTTCTATAATAAAACAAACAAAAAAACCCCGAAATTTGCATTTTGTCATTTAATTTGCATGCCTTTGGTTCCTAATAGGGACTCTTATTTCTTGTTTAGTCAATCACCTATTAACCCCTTTGGGGTCTCAGCATCTTTGTTCTGTAAAAAGTTAATTAATGCCAGTTATTTCTTTCTATAACCAGAATGTTTACCTGCTGTTATATTTAGTGCAAATATTTTCTACTATTTTGATATTTGCTCTTTGTTTTTGCTTCTTTTTCATGTGCACATTTGTGTTGTGGTCCAATCTCTCTCTTTAACTTTCAATTTGCCTCTGGGCCTGTCTGGCCACTCCTCATGCCCTTGTCCCCATAGGCCCTTTGTGGCACACAAAACTGTTTTGGAATAAAGACCCCTCATCCTGAAGCCCTCCCTGGCATTCTCCCTGCTGAGAGAACCTGGCTCCTTACTGCTCCCTTCCTAGCAGCCCTGTCTGGGGGCCTAGAGGGGAGGCACCTTCCACCTTGCTTCTGGCTGAGGTCTGCAGCTCCAGCCCCCAAGAGTTCTAGCTGTGAGGCAATCACCACCCAGCACCAGCCTTTGCTGTCAGCACCATCCCCACCTGTCACTGTCTGAACTTCTGTGGCCTCAACATCCTCTTGGATGATCCTTCAACAGCCTTGACCTCTTCTTCAAGACAATGTCCTATACCCTCTACCCATCACCACCAGTGACTGCCCCCACCCCATCAGCTCAATTCTACACCCCATTCTCTGCCATTCCCTCTCTCCAGGCTAGGCTGTCCACTAATTTTCTGGGCTTGTACCCCATTAGGGCAGAGGGGGTGAGAACCTGATCACAGAGTGGGCACAGCAGGGGCTCTGGCTTTGCTGAGGGTGGGGGTGCTGGGAAAACAATAGTGGGATACTCCCCCCTCAAGCCTAATCTTTCCAAAACATGAGACCAGAGCAGGGCAAGGAGTGGTGCAGCCAGAAGCAGAGAGAGGCAGAAGGTCACAGAACCAACACTGTACACATCCAACCCCAAAGACATAGGGGCTGGGCGGAGCTGTAACTTGAATAAGGATAGCTGGAAGAGACCCCAGCACAGAGAGGTTCTGCCGCATGGCCTGGATCTTCCACCAGCAGGGGGCTAGGGCCGTTGCCTCGCCTGGGGACCCTGCAACAAGTCCCCCAAGGTCCAAGGTCTCAGTGAGAAATTCAGGGCGGCCTTTGTGGAGCAGGGCTGAAACTTCCCAAGTGCACGGGAAAAGTCAACTGGACCCTGGGGCCAAAGCTCCACAGTGACCATGGGTGCTGGGGACGAGGGAAGCGGCTGCTCAGGATGCTAGAAGGAAAGCAAGGAAGAAGGCCCAAGTAATTGCGCCCAGGCCACATGTGTGCTCAGCACCCGTGGCTGGGCGCAGTGATGGCCAAGGCCTGGACCCAGCTGCCCCTCCCCGCCGGGCGCCTCAGGGGTTGTGGGCTCCACTGAGGGATACAAGAGCTGCCCAATGGTCCCCTCGGGAGAGCCTGGCCGCCGGACACATGTGTCCCGCTCTGTCGCCTCATCCGTCAACGGGGCTGGGGGCCAAGGGGGCGTGGAGATTGACAGAGAGAGGCAAGTATGTGGACAAGGAGTCGGGGAAGGGAGAAACGAGTAATGAGTGAGGGCGAAAAAGAAACAGGACGGGGAAGAGAAATGAAGTGGGCAGAGGACAGAGATGGGCGATGGGGTGGAGGAATGAAAGAATGAGGGAAGGGGATGGAGAGCTGGGAGTCCGAAGGACCAAAGTATGACCAGAGAGACAGAATCCCTGGGACGAGTGGAATGGTACAGGGATGGAATCGGAGGGACACGGTTGGGGGCGGGGACAGAGCAGCCGGGAGGAGGCAGTGAGCCCCGAGTGAGGGGATCGCGCCTGGCAAGTCCCGCGGCGCCCTGAGGGTCCACTCCGTAATTAGGCCTCGGTCCAGATGGGCCCCCAGTCCCGCAATAAAAATGTTAATTGGCCCGCGCCTCCGGCTGTGCCTCGGCCCGGCCCCCTGGGAGGAAGCCTGGACTCGCGGCCCGGCCGAGGGGGATTCCTGCCCCGCCCCCACCACGAGCCTCGCCGGCTGCTGCTCCGCGATAAGGGGGCGGCCGAGCCCCACCCCCGCCCCTCGGGAGCGCCTGCCACGCAAGATGAATGTCCCGCCGCTGCCAGGGCCGCTGGCACAAAGCGGGTCCGCGGTTTCCACCGCGCCCCGCGCCGGGCCAGCTCGGTCACACCCACCCTGGCTGGGCGCCGGGCTGGGGACCAAGGAGGCAGCCGGTCGGCGGGCGGACGGGGGAGGGGCGCTGAGCTCAGCACTCCAGGCGCGCCCCCGTGCGCGCGCCCGCACGTAACTGTCCCCTGCAGGGCCCGCCCGCTGCGCGCTCCCGGTCACTGTCTGCGGGCCCGCTGTGCCGCCCCACACAAGGTCACCGCGCAGCAATGAGCGCGCTCGCCTCCCCCTCGTGCGCGCTCCCAGTTCGGCTGCGCCCCGACACTCCCCAGAGCCACCCTCGCAACCTTGGAGCCCAACTACAGCAGGCCGCACGGGGGCGCGCTTGGAGCGTGGAGACCCGAAAGACCGCGCGGGGGCGGGTGAGGGACAATGGCGGCGCCGGGCCCTGGGCCCTAATTGGGGACATATGTACCCGCGCGCGGCCATTGTGAGGCCCGGAGCCCCCGGAACCCTAACGCCCCGGCGCCCCGTCATTGGCAGCTGAGCCTGACGTCATGGGGACTGCAAACTCCGGGCGGGCGGCCGCAGGAAGGGTTATCCGCCTGGTTGCTGGGCTGCCGGGGCGGAAGGTAGAGGGGGAGCTGCAGCCGCGCGGAAGGGCGGAAAACCACCAATGAAGCCGAATTCAGGAGCAGGGACATGGTAGTCCCACTCCCCCTCCACAGCCTGCTCGCTGCAACGCCTCTGCGTTCTACATTTGCCCAGTGGGGAGAGGCGTGGGCCGGGGAGGCCCTTCCATCGGGCACGGGGTCAGCCCGGGTGACCGAGTGGCAGGAGACATTGCGGCACAGGGCGCAAGTAGCGCTGTCACACTGTGCTTTCGCTGCCTCAGCATTCCCTCCCGAGTCTTCCGCTTCCCCCACCCGCCCCTGCAGATCCCGAGCCTCCAGGCCCCAAGCGGGGTGGGCCGGACTCAGCTGGAATTCGCCCTGTGTTCCTCCCCACAGGACCCAAAGTCCTGAGCGCAGGGGCCTGTTTCCATCTCTTCCCACACGCCTGACAATGCCACCAACCGCTGGGCCGCAGTTCCCTGGGCCGCGCAGGGGAACTCCCCACACATGGAGGCCGAGGCATCCCCAGGACCCCTCCCAGGAGACCCTGGCTGAGGCTCGGCCCAGCACAGCCATTTCTGCCGGCCTCTCCTGCCTCCCCTTCGTCCCCCTCCCCCAGCTCCTGGGCTTTAAAAGCCGGAGGCTGAGCCTAGGCGCAGACAGAGGCGGCTGCGGGCTCAGGAGCCCGGCCGAGGAGCTGTCCGAGCGCCGAGCCCCGCCCCCGGAGCCCCTGTCCCTCCCTCCCTTCCTCCCTCCCTCGGCCCGCCCTCCCTGCGCACCCCTCCCCCCCAGGACCCCCGCCCCCCGCCCGCCGCCGCCGCCGCCGCCGCCGCCGCCACTGCTCGCTCCGGCTGCAGAACAATAAAGCAAGCCTCCCAGAGACCCCCGCCGAGGACCCCCGCCCGGCGGTTGAGCCCCCGAGAACCGCCCCTCTCCGCCCTTGCCGGCTGAGCGCACCCGGGCGCTGGCCGCGGTGCTGCCCAGTCCGGCGCTGGCCGCGGTGCTGAAGCTGCGGGCGCTGCAGCGGCTGCCGCCGCATTCTCCAGGCCCCGCGCCGCCGCCCCCGGTGGCATGGGGGGCCGCTGACTGAGGCTCCGCCGCGGCGGCGGCGGGGGGAGGAGAAGGGGGCCGTGGAGCCGGGCAGCCCTGCACCCACTCGCAGCCTCCGGGCCCGGGACGGAGCCGCTCCCCCCTCTCCACCCCCCCAGCCTCCTCCCCCGCCTGTCCAGGGGCGGCACTGCGGGCTGGGAAGCCGGGACCAGAGGAGGGAAGGAAGGAAAGAAGAAGAGAGGAGAGGAGAGGAGAAGAGAGGAGAGCAGAGGAGAGGAGAGGGGAGAGGAAGAAGACGACGAAGAGGGACCCGGAGGGGCAGAGGAGCAGACGTAGGGCAGCCAAAAGGAGGAGAGAGGACGGCACTTTCGTGGCAGCATCCAAAGGCCAGAGTGGGGACCTGCGCTGCCTCCGCTGCTCCTCGGATGGTGACGGGGCCCCGCCGCGGCCGCAGTCCCCCTGAGCCCCGGCTCCACAGGCCCGCAGCGCCGGAGTCCCGCAGGAATCATGCCCAGGTCCTTCTTGGTCAAGAAGGTCAAACTTGACACATTTTCTTCGGCAGACCTGGAGAGCTCCTACGGGCGCGCCCGCGGCGACCTCGGCGTGCGACTGCACGATAAAGGTGAGAGCTGGGCTGAAGCTGGGCCCAGGGGCCCAGGGCCTTGCTGGAAGGGGTGGAGGGCCAGAGGGTGGGGGTGGGGGAGGAAAAACCTGGGAAATAGATGGGTACACAGAATGGGCAAGAGGCTGTGGCTGGAGTGGGACTGCAGAGGGTGGGGAAAGGGGAATGCAGAGGCAGGCCAGATCTGGGCAAGGCTGAAGAGACATTGGGGAAGAAAGGCCAGGAAGAGGAAGCACCTGAATGCACACACTGACCCGCAGCCTGACCCATGTGGGGACAAACAGCTGCATGGACGACTGCCGAATGACAGGACCCAGCCATGTGGGCACATGCAGACCCACACCCAGAAACCTGGGCCCACTTCACTACCCTCTTCTCTTCATCGGGTTGCACCACCAGAACACCTGCTGGGGCTAGCTGGGGAATGCTGGGAGCTTCAGGGAGTAGGCATGGGGTCCAGTGGGGCTGTCCACCTGTCAGGGCAAAGGTACCAGCAAAGGCAGAAGCTTCCCTGGAGTCAGGGTCAGGGAGAAGAATGTGGGGAGGTGGGCTGTGGGCAAGAAAGGCCCAAGGTGCTGGAGGCAGGGGGAGGCTCTTTGTGTAAGGGTGCTCAAGTTCAAGGACAACTGTTAGCATGCAGGAGAGGGAATGGGAGTGTCAGGCAGCCAGCGTGGGGTGGCAGAGCAAGTGTGACCTGCAGGAGCCAGAGCCTGTATGGATCCATGTGACTGCATGTGGCCATGTGACCGTGTGCGCTTGTGTGACCCTGTGTGAGTGTGTGCTTGCCTGTGTGCCACTACATGGGACCATGTGACTCTGAGTCTGCTGTGTACCATGTGACTGAGAGTGTGTCCAGGGTGGCAGCATGTGTGACCCCACATGAGTAGGTGGTGAGTTTGGGAGGTCAGCGTACAGCCTACCCTATGAGGAGACTCCAGGACTGATGGTGGCAGGGATGTTCGGCGTAACCCTGAAAAAGCCAGAGCCTGCATCGTGAGGGGTGTGCATTTGTGACTTTGAGGTTGTGAGATCCATCTTGTGCCTTGGGAACAGCCGCAGTTACCAGCATAAGTGATTCTGCTCTCCTGCAGCTTGTCCCTGTGAAGGTGTCCCCTGGTGGACACCCTGGCACTCTCTTTACCACAGCTCTCCCTAGCTGCTGTTGAGGAAAGTGGAAAGGACCCCAAAAGGGGAGTGTGGGCAGAAGAAGGCAATGTTGAACAGGGTAGGACCCAAGAGTGCAGGATAACCAGAGAGAGTGAGGGAGAACCAGAGTGGACTTGGACAGAGGAGAGTGAGGCTTGAGCCACAAGAGTAGGGGCCAAGTCCAGTGAGTGGTGAGAGAAGGGAGATGGGAAGGAGATGCTGGTGAGGGCCAGAACTGGGGGAGGTATACATCTCTAGGGCTGGTTGGGGGGCCTAATGGGCCAGAGAGCAGCAACATCAAAATGGATCACAGATCTGGGGGCCCCCGGCAAGAGCCAGTGAGGACCCAGGAAAGGCAGGACGAATGGGGTCCCTGGGCCAGCGGCCCTGGCTTTGTGCGCGGCGGGTCTGCAGTGTGTTGCATAATCAAGGAAAACTGCTGAAGTGGGGAGAACCCTTGGGGGAGGAGGAGGAAGAGTGGGGGGAGGAGGGAGAGGGAAGCGCCACCCCTCCCCCCTGACCTTGAGGCTCGGGGGAAGGGGGGCAGCCGCGCCCGAAGATGCGCCTCTCTCCTCCCCCCACGAGGGTGGGGCGCTCGGACGGCGGGGGCGGAGCCTGGCCCAGCCCTGTCTCATCCTCTTCTTTCCTCTCTTCCCCTCCTTGTCGTCTCCATCCTCCTTGCCCCGCGGTCCCTCGGCCCCTTCTCCTTTGTCCTTCTTGATGTTTGCCTCTTTTCCGGTACTTGGCGTCTCCCTGCCTGTGTCCATTTTGTCTCCCGCCGACACCCCCCCCATGTGGGTCTTGCCTGCTGTCCTATTCCCTTCCCGCTGTCTGTCTGTCCACCTCGGCCCGCAGGATACCTCAGCGACTACGTGGGGCCCTCTGTCTACGATGGCGATGCCGAGGCGGCGTTGCTCAAAGGGCCGTCCCCGGAGCCCATGTACGCTGCAGCCGTGCGGGGAGAGCTGGGTCCTGCGGCCGCGGGCTCGGCGCCGCCGCCCACCCCGCGCCCGGAGCTGGCCACAGCTGCGGGCGGATACATCAACGGCGATGCGGCCGTCAGCGAGGGCTACGCAGCCGACGCCTTCTTCATCACCGACGGGCGCTCGCGCCGTAAGGCTACCAATGCCAATGCTGCTGCCGCTCCCTCTACTGCCTCAGGGGCGGCCCCAGATGGGGACGCCGGAGTCGGGGGTGGGGCGGGAGCGCGCAGCTCGGGATCCGGGCCCGGGGGCCGGGGCGGCACGCGTGCAGGGGCAGGCACCGAGGCGCGCGCGGGGCCAGGGGTGGCAGGCACTGGTGGCCGGCATGCGTGCGGCGAGTGCGGCAAAACGTACGCCACGTCGTCGAACCTGAGCCGGCACAAGCAGACGCACCGAAGCCTGGACAGCCAGCTGGCGCGGCGGTGCCCGACGTGTGGCAAGGTGTACGTGTCCATGCCGGCCATGGCCATGCACCTGCTCACGCACGACCTGCGCCACAAGTGCGGCGTGTGCGGCAAAGCCTTCTCGCGACCCTGGCTGCTGCAAGGCCACATGCGCTCGCACACTGGCGAGAAACCCTTTGGCTGCGCACACTGCGGCAAGGCCTTCGCCGACCGCTCCAACCTGCGCGCACACATGCAGACGCACTCGGCCTTCAAGCACTTCCAGTGCAAGCGCTGCAAGAAGAGCTTCGCGCTCAAGTCTTATCTCAACAAGCACTACGAGTCGGCCTGCTTCAAGGGTGGCGCTGGCAGCGGCGGTCCCGCGGCCCCCGCGCCGCCGCAGCTCAGCCCTGTTCAGGCCTAGGGCGGCGGGGCCTCCGGCAGCCAGGTCGGCTCTCAGCAATACGGGCCCCCAGGGAAGTCTCCGCCGGCGTCCAGGAGGAGGGGCCGGAGGGCGGGCCCCTCCTCACAGCAATAGGGGGAGGGGGGGTCCGGTCCCACCCCGCCCCGCCCGCCAGGGGCCTTGCCGGCCTCTTCAAGCAATAGGGTCCTGAGGGGAGACCCAACCCAAGCCCCTTCCCCTCCCCTCCAGGGTGCCCCAGGCTTTCTCCCAGCAATAGGGTCGAGGAGACCCAGAACAGAACCTCATCTCCGAGTTGGGTCTCTGAAGACGGGGTGAGATGAGGTAGGGAGCGCCCTCTTTCTCCCTCCTCTGCGCCCCTGGATCGCGTCGCAGAGACTCAGGTCTTCCCCACCCCTTCCCAAGCCTTCAAGGGCCGGGCCTGCGGCCCAGACGTCCAGGGAGCCGGTCCCTCCCCGGCAGCAGGCCAGGGGAGGAGCAGGAGAGGGGCGGGCCTGAAGAGGCCTTCCTGCCCCCCCCACCCCCCCCCCCCCCCCCCCGCAGTCTTCGCCGAACTCCCGGGAGTGTTAGACGCGTTGGGATGGGGAGGGGAGCAGACGGCGGCACCCCTCTCCCTCGGGTTGCTTCTGGGGCCTAAGTCCGAGCCGCCCCTCCCACCCTCGCCTCGCATCCTCTGCCAAATCTGAATTCTTCCAGCCCAGCTTCCCGGGCGCTGTCCTCCATAACGAATAATAATGACACATATCGAATCGCATGGACTTATCCGACCTCCTCAGACCCCGCTCCCGCCCTGCCCCGGGGCTCCCTCCCTCGTACCCCGGGCATTCGGTGTTGGAGGACGGATTCCCGGGACCCAGAGGCAGGCCTGGGTGCTGCCCTCTGCACATCTCTCTGTATTCGCTTTGCGGGTAAAGCCCCCTGGGGGGGTTGCGGACGCGTCGGGTTTCTTTCTGTATTTGTACGTTTAATTTATGAACGGATTGCACTCGGGTCAGGGAGGGGGCGCTGAACCCCCCATCCTTCCCGCCGACGCCCGGGCCTAGGGATGTCCAGGATTACTTTCCCCGCCCGTGAGGCCCGTTCCTAGCTGGGCATCTCTAGGGAGCCTCAGGCCCCGCCTCTCAGAGGCCGGCCCCTCCCCTGAGACCCAGGCCCCGCCCCCACTCGGTTGCCAACTTTCGCCCGTCTATGCCAAAGCCTCGGCGGCGACCCCGCCCAAGGGCCCGCCCCATTGGCCGCCGCCTTTGTGACGTCACTGCATGCAGCCCCACCCCTCCTCCCGATCCTACCCGGGGCTGCCCCCTCTCCCTCCCTTTTAGGTAGTCCGATGCCGACTATAGAGCAATAATGCGCACTGCATGCGAAGCTGCCGCCGCCTCTAGAGTTACTGAGAATCAGGTATCCCCTCGCCCCATCCACCCCATAGGCCCCTAGATCAGGGACGCTGCGCGGGGCCGGCCGCGCAGACTTTCTTCCTCCCCCTTCCCTGCCCCCCCACGGCAGAGCCCGGCGGGTGTACTGGTTCTGGGGGCGGGGGTGGGGTGGCTGGACCCACGATCCCTCCTTCAGTCATCCATTACTTTCCGACCGTTCATTAGGCACCTACTATGTGCCAGGCCCATTGCTGAGTCCGCCAGGGATGCAGTGACCTTCGGGGAGGTGCGTGTGCAAGACAGGTGGCAACAGGCTTGGGTGGGCCAGGGAAGGATGCCCATGCAGACAGACCAGGTCCCTAGGCTCAGACGGTCTCCTTCTACTCCTCTCCACCTCAGCCCGGTCCTTGCTGGGCGCAGTTGGGCTCTACCTTTGACTTGGGCCTTTTGGGCCTAGCTGAGGTGACAGACTCAGGGCCCCAGGGCTCAGTGCCAGCCACCAGAGCCGCCCATACAGGGGTCCAGTCTTCCGATTCCCTGGAAACGTGGCTCTGCTGTGTTTGGCCAGGGGCAGGGCCCTGGCAAGAGAAAAAGGTGCAAGCTTGAATATGTGATGTGGCCAGCCTCATCCCCAGCACCCAGCTTGGCTGCCCCCACAGGGGCACACCGTGGGCCCACATCCAAACCCCTACACAACCAGGCCTGGTGCCCACACAGCTCCCAAACTGGGCCCTGCCCACCTGTGCTGCATGCACACACACACACACACACATACACACACACACACACATACAGGCATCCCCACCCCACCCCACTCCACTCTCCTGTCTACCTACCTAAGGAGAAGGCCTGAGGGCCATGGGCCCACCAGGGTCTCCCACTTCCCCTCACATCTCGCCGCCGTGGAAAGCCATGGGCCCTTTCCCGCCCCCATAACTAAGCAGCACAATAACCGACTTAGCGAATTCAGGTAGAAGGAACGTTTAGGTAGCACCTATTTTGTACTGATTCTACAAGTAGGGCCCGAGGTGCGGGGGCCCTCGGGTGGGGGCTGTGGCCGCCGGCCTGCCCCGCCCCCACCCCCGCCTGCGCCCCGCCGCCTTGTACATATTCCCACCCGGAACTGGCCGGGATTTTTACTCGGGCCGAGCCCCTGTTCCGCCCCCGTTTGGGGCTGGGCCGGCCGGACAGACGGACGGACGGACAGACCTCCTTCCTAAGCACAATAGCACCAGCTCCCCGGAGCGCCGCACCTCCACGAGGAGAATAAATGCCACTCTTGATAGAATTTGTATTGTCGGGCTGATGTGTCCTGGGTTGGGCTGCGCTGCTGGGGGGCCTGTGGGCATCTTCCCAGTCCTGCCACAGTACAGAGGCTGGCGGCTTGCAGGCATCAATGCAGCAGCTTTTCCAAAGAAGGCTCTCTTCTTCCACTGGGGAGAAAAGCAGTTGGCATTTCCCCAGGAGCAGGTGAATCTGCTATGCGCTAAGAATTGGGCACTAAGGGTCTCCAGCCCAAAGTCAGGTTCAGCTCGAGGCTGATCTAGAATGGCCAGAGTAGGTATAGGAGGGGCTGCAGCCCTCTATCCTGGGGTGCCTCCACTCTACACCACCCTCCATGTAGGGGCTTTTGCTGCCCTGGCAGGCCCGACAGCCATAAGTGAGCTCTCTGAGATGCTGTTGGAAAAAATGGGGACAGCAGAGGGTTAGAGGTCTGGCCCCTTCCTGTGGCCTGATACCCACATTCTGACCCCCAGACTTCCAGGTTATGGGCCCCCTTCTGTCTGAGGAGGCCTGTATGAACAGTCGATTGAACCAGTTCCAGGGAAGAGGTGCCTAAAGGGCATATAGGCTTCTGTAGCCACCCATAGCCTGAGGGCTCCAGACAGGATGAATAGAATTGAGATGAGAGGTGGTGTTGTACTGAGAGAACAGAGGGGCAGGGACCAGCAATGGCCCCTGGTAACCAGGTAGGTAGGCATGAACTGAGAGATCCAAAGGTTTGGGGCACATATGGTCAAACCAGGTCAGCTCTAAGCCCAGGGCCAGCACAGCTGCCCACACCCTAGCTGTGATAGGGGACAGGCCTGCCCAGATTCAATTGGGGTGGAGAGCAGGGGAGCCAATTCTGCAGCAGGTTATAGACTGTGCGTCTGCTGTTTGGAGGGGGTGCTGATGGGGGTAAGTGCCCCCTTCTGGAGAGCAGTGCCAGCAATAACAATAGCAGGTGTGAAGACATGCCTGGTACTGGTAGGGGCCTGTAGCCAAAGCCTCCTGCAGAGGTACTCTTCACTTTCACTGTCTGGGCCTGGGTAGGCATCATCACCCTCCTTGGAGATGAGGAATCTGAGCCTCTGGGAGATAAACAGCTTGTCTAAGGCTAAAGGATCCCAGGGCTGCCTTTGACATAAGCTCTGCCCCCAAATTCTACCCACCTTGGCAGGCGGCAGTGGTGGGGAGGAAGACTCCTAACTACTCGCTCCTTTTGGAAGGATTCCACAGCTACTGTGTTTTTCTGCTTCTCCAGGATTTTGATGGGTGCTGGGGGTGGAAGAGTGGAGGCAGCCTCCCTGAGACCTGGGATGAGCTCAACCCCCCATTCCTCTCATCCATGGACGCAACTTTCCATCCTAGAGAATGGGTGGCACAGGCTGCTGACCATCACTGCCCAGGAACTCTCCCTTCGGCCCGTGCCCCTCACAGGGCTCCTTAGCCCACCACGGCCCCTCTGCCCTAGGGTCATCCCAAGATCCCTTCTAAACTCCAACCCCCTCCCAGCCCTCCATCCCACCAGGCCTGCAAGTCTCCTCGCCCCAGCCTCTGCCCGCTCATTTGTTGCAGCTCCCAGGGAGATCTGCACCATGCTTTTCTCACCCACCCCGCCCTGCACACCTTCGTTTCCAACCAATCTCATGTACCCTGACCTTTCGCCTCTCTCCTGGATTCCTACGCTGCACCTCACCCTGGATCCCGGGGTACTGGGGCTGTGCCAGGCATCACTCTCCTCTTAGGCTACCGCCCCGGCCCCGCCTCCCGGCTGCAGACCCCGCCCCCGCCATGTCGTCAGTACCGATGCTCTCGCTCATTGGTGTGCTTACAGCCAGTGCCTTCCCATTGGCTCGCGGCCCTGCTCTTCCCGCTCGGCCCGACCCATCCTCCCTGGTGGCCAGGTCCCAGTCTCTGGTCGCCTCACTCCCGTGGCCACTTGCCAGTTGACCGGTGTGAGGCGGGACGGGGTCGCAGGCAGCGGCCTCCAACGCGATCCTTCACTCCTCATTGGACCGGGTGCGCTCGGCCTCCCTGGGCTTACTGGCAGGCTGAGCCGTCAATCTTTTCCTCCTCCCATCAGTGTGACAGCCTGTGAGGGTCTTCTGGTTTTAGGTTCTGTACTGGAGGGTGGTATGGCCAGAGCGCGCGAGGGGACACGTGGGCGCGCGTCGGGGGGAGGCTCGCACTCGCTGCCTGGGAGAAGGTGTGAAAGAGGGGATGGCAGAGCCCTTATGGCTTCACCTGTATGCTCTAGGCTCACAAAAGGACACTCTTCCGCCTAGCCTCCTTTTGGGGTCAGTACATTCTCAGAAAGGCATAGCACAGCTGAGCCCAGGCCCAGCCCCAGAGCACGCTCCGATAGTGGCTGCAATGCACAGACAAACGTTTTGGCAGACTGGGTAGAAGACTGGGCTGATCCTGATCCACCCAGGCCCATGCGTGAGGACAGGGGCTCTCTGGCTCAGTCAGAACGCCCCCCCCCCCCAGCAGGCTACAGGAAGACACCTTTTTGGTAGTCCCAGACTGCCTAATGCCCTGGCTGGCATCAACCCAAGATGATTATGGCAGGAAGATGTGTCACCAGGGTGAAGCCCTGCCGGCCACCTTTGGTGGAGGTGGTGGAAAGAGGCTGAGCTCACCGGGAAGGCTGTGACAGACAGGTCCACTGGAGAGGCTGCACACCTCAGGCTGAGTCCCTCAGTTTGCTTCCAGAGAGGCGCCTCTTGGCCCTGCTCATCCCAGAGGAATCGAAGTGTCTCCTGGGTAAACCAGGTCTTAGTCCCCAGTGAACCCTGGGATCTGAGGCCCAGAATGTCTGCACTCCATGCCCTGTGAAGATGCATGCCAGGCCAAGGTGGGAGCAGACTTGGTCTCCTGAGCCGCACTTTGTTGCTGTTACGGTTGATTAGTTGTTTCATTTAACAACAAGGCGATTGTACAGGCTGTGCAATTTCACAGAAGCCTCTGAGTCCCTGGCAATCTGGCACCCCAGGCTCCTGACGGCTTGGCGAGGCTAGTTCCAGTTGGAAGCCTGGAAGCCCTGCAAGTTGGAGGACCTGCTCCCTGTGGAAAGGCCGGCATCCTAGCCCTATGCAATACCGGCCCTGCAGACAGAAAGGTGGAGAGCCTGGAGCGACACGCAGGGCGGATGTCCCAGTGACTCGGGGCCTGGGGCACTTTTCCCGCTTGAATCTCTGACTTGGCCCTTGTCTGAAGTCCCCCTAAGTCGAAGAAAAGCTGATTCCTGCCGTGATAACTAGAGGTGCAGAGTGTCGGCGCAGAGCACCACTGTGCCTGGGGCAGCAGTTACTGCGCGGAAACCATCGCACCGGGTGGTGGTGACGCGAGCTGCCGCGGACAGAGGCCCCGAACAGCTGGACGGTAGCGCACCAGGCTTTTCATAAATAATCAACATCCCCAAACGACTCGCCTGGACTGAGGAATGACGGAACCCTGTATTTACAGAAGTGGGACAAGTGAGAGGTCAGGGGAGGCGCACAGCTGCCAGTAAGTCGCGTGCTGGTGCAGGCCCTCAGGCTATCCGCCTGGCTCCGCGGAGCCGGGCAAAACACTGGAAGTCTTTCGCGGAGACCCTAGGACGAAGCAGGGAGCAGATCTGCTGCCCGGCCGTGTACTTGCAGCCCGCAGTCCCGGCTCACGCGAACGACTACAGCTCCCAAGGTGCTCTGCGCCGACACTCCCGCAGAGACTACGACTCCCAGGGTGCTCTGCGGCGACACGCTTGCGGCGACTACGACTCCCAGGATGCTCTGCGGCGACACGCCCGCGGCAACTACGGCTCCCAGGGTTCGCCGCGCGTCCCACCTCTCACACCAGGCCCCGCCTCAGGTCGGCCTGTGGACTACAAATGGACACGCGCGGCAGTCGCCCGCCAGTTAGCGGCTCCGGTGCGAAGCGGCCTCGGTTCCTTGGGCGTACAGGCGTAACGCGGGCGGGCCTGGAGGGCCAGACGAGCGGTCGCGCGGGCTACGGCAGCCGGCGTGGGGCGGTGGTAGCCGTTGCTGAGGGTTGGGAGGCGGAGTCGTGGGCCTCAGGCGCTGCAAGCCCGGCGGGCCACGACTTGGCTGCGGCAGGGTGCTGGCTGAAGCCATGGGCGACCGCAGCGGCGCGGGCGGCTCCCGGCGCCGGAGGACGGGGTCGCGGCCATCGAGCCACGGCGGCGGCGGGTCTGCAGCGGTGGAAGAGGAGGCGCGGAACGCGGCGGCGGGCCCTGACGTGGGTGCTGGGGGGGACGCCCCGGCCCCGGACAAGGACGGAGACGACAATGTGGGCGGCAGCCAATTGGAGCTGAGGTAGTGGAGCACCTGACCCCTAATCTCTGACCCTATGACCCTGGACCCCGTGACTTTTTCCTGGTTCCCCGGGAGTGGCCGCAGCAGCGCAAGCTCTGAGTCCGAGAACCTGGGGTTCAGACTAAGTGGGGACCTGTGTGCCCTTTGGGCCCTGCGGGGAAACTGAGGCTTGGAGGGGAGGGTCACCTGCCAAGGTCACCGAGATGGAGGTGTGGAGTTGGCCAGGCAGAGAGAGGGGAGCCGGCAGCTGCCCTGCTTCCAGACGCTTTTGGGTCTGTGCATCCTCAGGTGGGTCCTGAGGTCCTTTCCGAGGGATGAGCTGGAAGCCTGGGCACTTAGAGGGCTAGTCCGGGTCCGGTCCTGGCTCTGGACACTGTCCTCTTCCTTGGAAGGAGTTAGATGGGATCCGGGCAGTTTGTGATGAAAGGTTTCTCTTTGGAGGGCTATGAGGGGTGCCTTGGGATTAGGGACAGCTCCCAGAGGACAGTAGCCCAGGTCTTTTTGAGGACAGGGAAAGGGGCAATGTAAGAGGCTTTTTTGCTTGCAGGCCCTTCCAAGGGTGGCTGCATGGCTCATTCATCCCCCATTGAGTCGTTAGGCTGGCCTGCTTGTGTTGCCAGAACAAGTGTTTGCTATAGGGATGTGGGTCTTGTATTGGGACATTTATCCCGTCTGGGGTTTACAGGAGGAGGGGTTTGAAGTGGACCCACCTGCGGGTGGGTGCCCTGTTTAGCTGAATGACTGACAGGAATGGAGGGGGGGGGGAATGAACCATGCTGATAGGGAGGGCTTGGCCTGCCTGGACATTGGCCCTTCCTCCAAGCTGGCCCAGAGCAATCCATTTGCCATCTTCCAGCCTTCCTTTCTGGCTTTCACCTTGGTCCAGGGGCTCTCAGGGTCTTTGGCTGAGGGAGCAGCTGAAGGGCCAGAGGTTATCAAGGAAGAAGTAGGCAGTTGGTCATTTGGTTGGTGTGGATTTGCTCTCTCAGAAAACAAGAACAGAGGCTTTCTTCACCGGGCACTGTGGAGAGGGATTAGGGGAGGGCAGCTGGGGTGCAGGCACTTTCACAGCCCACAGGGTGCTCACAGTTCACCTGGGAGATAAGATAACCTCAGCATGATGCATTCATGGAACAGTATGGACAAAGGTCGGGCAAGGAGGCTATGAAGGTGCCACTGGGGAGGAGGGTGGCCCTCCTGAGAAGGTGCTTGCTTGCTGTGGGCCTGGGGTGGTGCTGAGCGAGGTTGGTCCTGGCACTTTCTTCCTGAAAAGGAGTTGCCCTCTCTTTAGGAAGCAGGGGATGGCTAGCATGGCCTCAGGAGGGTGGGATCAAGGTCCTTTTGTGTGAGATGGGGGTTTCCACCTCTGGGCGAAGCTGCCACTCTGGGATAGGCAGGGGAGAGCAGTCACTTTTTTTGTTTTCACTAACCAGCAAGCCTTTTCTGTGCTTCTGGGAGTGTGGGGCTGGGTATAAGCCTTGTGGGAGAGGCTGGGTGAGCCCTGTTTTTGCTGTTGGGGTCTGAGATAGCCAAGGTAGAGCCTTCCTGGGACTGGAGGGTGAGCCAGCTGATCTGTCTGCTCCTGGGTCATGCAGGCTCTAGCTCACCCCCTTGTCACCCTCCCACCTCCCTTCTTCCAACTGCTCGTTGCTGTTCTTGGCCCAGCCCAGCTTTTCCTCTCCCTCTTCCTCCTTACTCCTTGAGCTCCAGGCTTCTTCCCCTCCCTGACACTTCCTGCTCACCTTAGGCTGGGCTCTGGGTGTGAGCTCATTTCTTCTGGTCCCATGGCAAGGTGAGACTGTGAGGCAGGAAGGAAAGGGCACCTCTTCCTGTTCTGCCTGGCTCATCCCTTCCAGGCTTTTTGCACACTTTTTCTGGCTCTCAGTTCACGGGCACTCCCTTTTGGTTTCCATCTTCTCCCAATGTGTTTGTCCCTGGGGTGTCCTCTTTCTGTCTCTCTTTCCCTTTCTCCAGCAGGGTCTGAGAGGTGTGAGGAGCCTGCCGCAACCATCTCTCACCCCAGGACTCAGCCCAGAGGTCAACACACAGGAAGTGTGGATGAGGTGGCAGCTGGGAAGGGAGCTGGCACTCTGTCCTGCTCCTCACTCTGGTTGGCCCTGGTGCTGGACTGTGTGGTCCCCAGGTGTGGCCCACACTTGGGAGCTATGCCTTTGGGCACACTTTGAACCTTGGCATAGGAGCATGGGGATGGGCATGTGCTTACCTCCTAGTGCTGATGTGAGATTGAGTAAGAGGATCCTACTGGCTGGGTGTCCCTGGGGGCTCCAAGGGGGAATGAGGGTGGGCTGCTCTATGTCCTCTCAGCCTGGGGAGGGGGTCTAGGACAGCTGGAAGGCATAGAGGCATGGGCAGGTCCTCTAGTAGGGGAGAGGGTGACAAAGGCGTTCTAGGCATGGCTGGCCAGTTCCTGCCTCCCTGTGTGGGTGAGTTGCCGGCCTGCCCTCTAGCCCACTTGCTGCTGGCTGTGCTGGCAAGCCTGGAGCTCTTTGGGCATTGGCAGATGGGGATCTCCTCCCCTGGGTCAGGGGCCTCTGACCTGTTGGGGGAGGGGCAGCATGGGCTGAAGCTGTGCAGTGGCGGTGCTGCCTGGGGTCAGGTGTCAGGAGGCCTGTGGAGGACCTGAGGCTGGATGTGGGTAGGTTGAGGAAGGCCTAGGGAATCCATCAGGAGTGACCTAGAAAAGCTTTCAGCTTTGGAAAGCAGCACTCTTTCCCCACTCTTGTTTCAATCTTGAAGATGGGTACTAAGAAAGCCAGCATGGTCTCCTTGGTGGCCTGAAAGGGGCAGAGGTCCCACTGTTGTGGAACAGCATGGCGATGTGAAGACAGTTGATAGGTCATGGTACAGGCAGGCTAACTAGGAGGCTTTGAGATAGTTCTGGTGAAAGCAAATGGGCTTGAACTTCGGGGAGGGCAGTGGGGAGGCCTGCTCTGTCCTCCCTGGGAAGCTGTGCCTCATATTCTTGACTGCCTCAGGGTACTGGGGCTCTGGGAAACATGTATACTTACCCAGCTTCTTGGGGAAGTGGAGCAGGTGCAGTCCGGGGAGATGGACCAAGGGCAGTGGTCAGTCAGAAAGGCGTGTGCAGACCCAGGGAGGGGAGGGCTCAGATGAAGACCACAGCCTCACCTTGTGGTCCAGACTGGACCTCATGGGTAGATGCAGAAAGCTCAGGCCTGTGGCTGAGAGAGGCAAGTGGACAATGGCAGGGGCTGGGGTTGGGGCAGAGCTGCCCTGTCCTGATGCTCCAGCCTAGATGGGTAGAAGGACAGGTGCGACCATCCTTTTACCAGCTTGGTGGTGCTGGGGGCTAGTGTGGCCAGGTCCAGGAGCTGTGTAGGTATAGATGGGACAAGTGCCGTGTAGACCTTGGTCTGGGGGACAAAGGTCAGGCCTGTTGGCATTGCCCTTCAGTCTCCTTGGCCCCTTGCTTCCTAGGCGGGGCCATCTGACTGCTGACTCCAACTCTAGCCAGCTTGCCTCTCGGAACTGAGGCAGCGACAACCCTGAGAGGGCATCTGTGTCACAGGCTCCTGCCATTGTTCCTAGGCCCATTTTCTTGCCCAGGGCTCTGAGGCAGAGGTATATGTGCATGGAAGGGAAGGGGAGCCCTGGGCCTCTCTTACAAAATTGAGGCTTTGCTCAATGCTACATGTGGCTTCCTGGTGGTGCAGCAGCTGGGAGTGAGGTGGGGCTGCAGTTGGTTTGAGTGAGGCAGTGCTGGTTCCTGGGCCATGTGTGGTCTGGTCTTGCACTTGCTGTCCTTGTCCCAGCACTAGGACAGCCCATCTACTGGGCCAGGTGCCCTTTTCCACCTCTGCCTTTCCCTGAGGACAGGCACAGTCTGCTTGCCTCCCCACCATCCCACACTGGGTGGGAGAACACAGAGGGTGCCTGTCTCTGCTGGAGGCCCCAGTGGGCTCCTCTTGACCCCTTCAGCCCAGGCAGCACTTACCTGTGGTTGAACTGGGATAGGCTATCACTTTTCAAAAACAAGTGGAGGCCACACAAGCACAGGCCAAGTCCCTGCACCCAGGAAGGTACCCATCAGGCTGGATGCTTGACTGGCCTTTAGCCTGGGTTCCTTTGCCCACTTGGGCCTTTGTGGTCATGTGTGGGGAGGAGGCTCTTTGGGCTGTGTTGGGACCCCCTGGTTCTCTGGGTGGCAGGATGGCAACAAAGCTTGGAGGACTTGCCCTTCACCCTTCTGTCCCAGCTATTTGGTGGGGCCAAGTGGGCCCACAGATCCCTGGGTTGGACTGTGGCCCCAGTGCTAGTCCACAGCCAGAGTGCTGTGGGAGCCAGGCTGGGCTCCTGGCCTGCGGTATGCAAGTCCATTGTAGGCCTGGGCCAGGCAGGGCAGGGCTAGCCAGGCTCCTGCCTGTGATATGCCCTTTTCTGCTGCCTAAAGGGGCAGAGAGCTTTGCCAGCCTCTGGTATGGCCCTACCTGGCTTTTCCTCCTGTTTGTAAATGAGGTGTGGGGTGTGTGGGCAGAAGAGTGGGTTGGGGTGGGAGTGTGGATCACAGCTGCTAGCCCAGAGTGAGGGGCTGGGGTATCTGCTCACCAGGGTGCTTGTGTCCTGCACTGCCAGGTGCCATCGCCTGCAGGATTCTTTGTTCAGCTCTGACAGTGGCTTCAGTAACTACCGTGGCATCCTGAATTGGTGTGTGGTGATGCTGGTGAGTAGGATGGTGTCTGGGAGCAGGTCTACCTGTGGCCAGGTAGGGCTCTGTCCCAAGTTGGCCTTCACCTGGGAACAGGCTCTGTCCCCCAGGGTGCTGGGGCTGGAGTCCATGTGGGTTGGGGGGCACAGAGCATGCTGTAGCTACCTTGAGAAGGCTATGTCTCCGTGTGGTGGCCTTGTACTGGGCTGCTGGGAGATGTGGTGGCGTTCCCTGCAGTGGCCACACACTTGCTGCTCCCTGCTGGATCCCAGGAGAGTCCTGCAGATGGTAATGTGGGGAGGCCTGAGGCCTGTGTGCTGTCAGCTGTGCTGAGGGGGCGCAGGCCCCACGGGAAGGCAGGGAGGAGGAGGGGAGGCTTGCCCTGCTTGGGCTGTGGAGGGAGCACTCTGTGGATTCAAGGCTTCCCTGGCAAGGTATGTAAGAAGAGTTTCCTTGTGCTATGCCTTATGGCCCTAGTGGACATAGAGCCCTGGTAGGCCTGGCCCCTGCTCTGCAGGCCTGCTGGCCCCTCTCCTTCAGCCCTGAGTCCTAGGAACCCTCCAGGAAGGTAGTTGGATGGAGTCCTGTGCCATGTCCAAGGCCTGCTGCCCTTGGGGCCTGGTTCCCACTGGCACTTTGTGGGGGTGGGGCTGAGAGCCCCACCCCAGAAGCAGTTGGAGTCTAGGGCTCCAAGGGGCAGCCTGTGGGGGGAGTTGTGGGCAAGGGCCTGTCTGGGCCCAGACTCCACCACTTAGGGCCAATATCGCCTGAGGCCTTTGACCCTTGCCCAGACTTGTCCTCTGTTGGGTGTGGTGCCTGTGTGGTACTGGCTCCACGTACACCCGTGGCCCCAGTTGGTGGTCCTGGGAGGTTCCCTGGGAGTGTCTGGGGCTCCCAGCATACTTGGTCTGCAGAGGGCTTTGGGCTTTGGCCAGCTGTGGGGTGAGTCCTGGTGGTGAGAAGCTGGCTGGGCAAGAGGACAGTGGGCCTGGTGCTCGCCTAGCCCTCAGGAGATGTGTTCTGTTCCTGGCTTAGGCTGGGTCTTGGCAAGCCAGACAGCACTGTTGGTTCTTTTGGAAACTGTTGGGCCTGCCTGGCCCTTTGGCACAGCTGTGAAGCCTTTCCCTACTTCTGGCTCTGGGCTCCGGGCTCCTTGCTAGGTTTCCTCTGTGGCCGGGGCCTGGAGGGGCCACTGCCCATCAGCAGCTCTGGCTTCTGCCTGCTGTGGGTTCTCAGGAGAGGCCACATTGTGCAGTGGATGATGTGGGTTCCACATGTGTTGAGGCAGGAGGTCCACTGGTTAGCCTTGCAGCTGGGAGAGGTAGGGCAGTGGCCCCTGTGTCTCTGAGGTAGTCTCCTCCTCCATGAAGCCTTCCCTGACCACCCAGGCAAGGACCAGTGTTCTCTTGGTGGCATTGCTTTTCCAGAGCACTTGTTACCACCATGCTCATGGAGGTGTTGGTGGTGCTTGTGAAATAGGTGATGAACTTCTTGTCCTTGCAGAGGGAGGCTGAGTGCCTAGCCCTAGTGTGGAGCCGGGACCCTGTCTTGATGGGGGCTCAGTCCATGGAGAGCTGCCATGGAGCAAGCCTGGAGCTTGGGGGCTGTAGGAGGCAGCCAAGGCTGGGCAGGGCATGTGCCCAGGGAGCACTCCAGGCCCAACCACCCTCTACCCCACACCCTTGCCTGCACTTTCATGTTGTAACCTCTTGCCACACAGCTGAACACTGAAAAGACTGGCCTGGCTGGCAGGGCAGTGTACTGGGCAAGGGCAGGCAACTCCCCCCTTCAGCCTTGGCCCCTTAGAGGGCCTGGTTCCCTGGGGCTTGGCTGTGGACAGTCCTCCCTGGGCTGGCTTGGGCTTTGGGGCTGTCACTATGGTGGTGGCTGACTATAGGGTGAGCCTCAGGTTCCTCACTGGCTTGCTTAGTGAGAAGGACAAGCACTGCTGCACAGCAGGCCTCTTTTTGCTGCTGGAGATGCAGGCATCGGAGGTACCTGGTTCCCTCCATGCAGGCCCTTCTAGGGGCCCCTGCACTGATGTGGGCTGAGGTGTGTGGTGAGTCTGGGAGCTTGGCATGAAGACCAGACAGGGCTGGGTGTGGGTTGGGGGCTCCTATCCCCATAGGTGCTGGGGTGGGGTGTCTTGTGGTCAGGAATAATGGGGCTGTGTTCTCCTGTCTTATGTAGATCTTGAGCAATGCGCGGTTATTTTTGGAGAACCTCATCAAGTGAGTACCTTCTCCATGTCCTGGCCTCACCCCAGTCACCGCCTGCTTAGGTCCTGTCCCCAGGTCTCCCCCCTCCCTGTCCCCACCTCAGGCCTTCATGCCCCTACCCCTAGGTATGGTATCCTGGTGGACCCCATCCAGGTGGTGTCTCTGTTCCTGAAGGACCCCTACAGCTGGCCTGCCCTGTGCCTAGTTATTGGTGAGCTGGGCTCTGAGGAGGGTCTTGGGTGGGGACCAGACCCGCTTGGCCTTGAACCTGCCCTCTGGTGCTTCTGTCCTCAGTGGCCAACGTCTTTGCTGTGGCTGCGTTCCAGGTTGAGAAGCGCCTGGCGGTGGTAAGCATCATCCTGCCACAGCCCCTGGGAACCTGCCAGTCAGTTCTCCTCACTGCTGCTGCCTTCCTGGGAGGAGCTGCTTCCCAGGTGGCCCTCACTCAGGGAGTGGGGGCCCTGGCTGAGTGCTCTGCCCCCCCCACCCCCCGGCCTCACCCCCACAGGGTACCCTGACGGAGCAGGTGGGGCTGCTGCTGCACTTAGCCAACCTGGCCACTGTTCTCAGCTTCCCGGCGGCCGTAGCCTTGCTGGTTGAATCCATCACTCCAGGTGTGCCCCGATCCCACCCCATCCCATCTGCCCTGGGCCAGCCACAGGTGCGGCATCTGGCCGTGGACCCTGTGGAGGCCTGAGCCTTCCTCTCCTGCAGTGGGCTCCGTGCTGGCGCTGATGGTGCACACCATCCTCTTCCTCAAGCTTTACTCCTACCATGAAGTCAACCTGTGGTGCCGCAGGGCCAAGGCCAAGGCTGGTGAGGGCCTGCTGAGGGGCTAGGGCTGCTTGTGAGGCCAGGCTGGGCAGCAACATCACTCCATCCCTTCCCTCCCTTCTGCTCTGCTCCTAGCTCCTGCAGGAAAGAAGGCTGGCGGGGCTGCTGCCCAGCATACTGTGAGCTACCCAGACAACCTGACCTACCGTGGTGAGGACCCTGTGGTGGGTGGGGCTGGGGGCAGGGCCAGGCCTGTGCTGGTGCCAGCCCCTCCCTCCCATTCCAGATCTCTACTACTTCCTCTTCGCCCCTACTTTGTGTTATGAGCTCAACTTTCCCCGTTCCCCCCGAATTCGGAAGCGCTTTCTGTTGCGACGACTCCTTGAGATGGTGAGGTTGGGGGCTGGGGGCTCACTGGGGACTGAGGGGCCTTTAGGGCCATCTGGAGACTCAACCGTCTGCTCTGGTTCCTCCCTTAGCTGTTCTTAACCCAGCTACAGGTGGGGCTCATCCAGCAGGTAAGGGGGCTGGGGCGGGTGGTGTGGGATGGGGTGGGGTAGCTCAGTGCAGGTGGGAGCTGACGCTGCGCCCTCCTTTGCAGTGGATGGTCCCTACCATCCAGAACTCCATGAAACCCTTCAAGGTGAGTGGCCCAGGCCCTCCTGTGGCTGGGGTGGGCGGGCGGAGGCCGTGGCCGGCTGAGGGAGCCTGTCTCCATAGGACATGGACTACTCACGAATCATTGAGCGCCTCCTGAAGCTGGCGGTAAGTGTGCTGGGCCAGGAGAGGGGGATGGGGGGCAGTGGCAGGGGTGTTTTGGAACCTGGAGCCCCTCTCCCACAGGTCCCTAACCACCTCATCTGGCTCATCTTCTTCTATTGGCTCTTCCACTCCTGCCTGAATGCTGTGGCCGAGCTCATGCACTTTGGAGACCGGGAGTTCTACCGAGACTGGTGGTAGGTGGCCTTGAGGTTGCCCTTGGGGACTGGGGTGGGCTATGGTGTGCTCTGATCACCCTGTCATCTCTCTACTCCCAGGAACTCTGAGTCTGTCACCTACTTCTGGCAGAACTGGAACATCCCTGTGCACAAATGGTGCCTCAGGTAGGTGGTGTATGTATGTGCATGTGTGTGGGAGGTGGGGTGAAGCTGTGGGCCTGGGCCCCTTCCCACGCCCCCCTCCCCCTTCCTCTGCAGACATTTCTATAAGCCCATGATCCGACGGGGCAGCAGCAGGTGGATGGCTAAGACAGGGGTGTTCCTGGCCTCAGCCTTCTTCCATGAGGTCAGTGCTCTGCAGGGCATCCTGCCTCATCTCTGGGCAGCGGTGTGGGCCATGTGGGACATAGCTGACACCCCCTCTCCCTCCTGCCTCAGTACCTGGTGAGCATACCCCTGCGAATGTTCCGCCTTTGGGCCTTCACGGGCATGATGGCTCAGGTGAGCAACCTGCACATGGCTGCCAACCTGCCTGCTTCCCCCTTCCTGAGCCCTGGGGCCCAAGAGTAGCCCTCCCTGTGGTCACCATGGCTGACTGACCTTGGCCTCCACATGTCCCCAGATCCCGCTGGCCTGGATTGTAGGCCGCTTCTTCCGGGGCAACTATGGCAACGCGGCTGTGTGGCTGACGCTCATCATCGGGCAGCCAGTGGCTGTGCTCATGTATGTCCACGACTACTACGTGCTCAACTATGAGGCCCCAACAGCAGTGGCCTGACCCACTCCTCACTGCCCGTGGCCAGAGCCAGCTTACCTTCCCTTGGGCCTTGAGTGCTGCAGCTGGGGGCCTGGCTGCGTGGCATCATCCTCCTGCCCTAGGAGGCCTCTCTGCCCCTGTGGGGCTCTCTCCTGTACCCCTTAGGGATACTGGCAGCATACCGGGCAGATGCCGGCTGGGAGTCTGTGCTGACCCTGCTCCAGGGGCTGAGGGTGTCAATAAAGTGCTGTCCAGTGACCTCCCTTAGTCTGCCAGGGGTTTGGAGGGCTTATGGGAGGAATGGTAACACCCATGGGGAGGGTCAGTGTCAGGGCTGTGGGGGGAGCTGCTCCAGGAGGTGCTAGAAGGCCCTTTTGTTCCTCAGGCTGTCTGGCCCTGGTGTTCTTGGAGGGTTTGGGTCCACCGGCCTCTCCATGCCACCCCAGCCCTGCTGGGTGCTTCCCTATGTGCCCACATGGGCTGAGCTGTCTAGTATCTCCTGGGATGGGTGGGAGAGGCTACTTTGCTGTGGCAGGGCAGGGCAGGGCAGGGCACAGCCAATGGGGCATTTGCATGGCTGGGGATGTGGCCAGGTAGGTCCCCAGTGTCCCTACAAGCTCACTGCTCAGAAAAGTTCAGATCAGACTTTGGTGCTAGTGATGTACCTGCTAATCCTGCATGGTGGGGCCAAGTGTCCTGTGGCTCCCAGTGGGGCATGAGCCTGTTTAGCCAAATTGGGCCCATCCTCAGCTTGGGCAGGAAATGCTCAGGGTTCACTGGAAGTGGGTTTTGCCTGGAGCAGCCTCCAAGGGCCCTTATGACTTGGGTCTGGGGGACCAGGAGGCTGTAGAGATCATGATGACTGTCCATGGGCAGTTCATCTAGGGATGGGCTTGGGGCAGGGCCCTGGGATCACATCTCCAGGGTCAGGAGACCCCGAGCCCCTTGGCTGAGATAGGGACCCCCTCCCTTAAGACCCCACCTTGTGCACTAACTGTGCCTTCTGAGGCCAGGCTGCCCCTTCACCTGGCACAGAGGGCCTGGAGAGTAGGGGACCCTGGGCCCAGTGGCTCCAAGCTGTCCTCCCCTAGGGCTAGGCCTGCCATCGGCCCTGGAGCTCTTCTCCCCACACATCTTCTGGCACTGATCTGGGCAGTCCAGACACAGCCCTGACTGAGGCCATCAAAAGGACACTTCATTCCCAGGCCCTGCCACCCATTGAACTGCAGAGGAAATCATCTTGGTAGCAGAGGTGGGGGCAGTGCCAGGTCCCCGTTCCCAGCTTATCTTGGTGGGCTGGCTGTCTGATTGGGATCCCCTGGGCTGAACCAGGCAAAGTGTGCCCTCCAAACCTGTAACTATAGTCCAACATGGCAGGTGTCTGAGGAGCCCCCAGTACAGGTCTAGCCTGCACTGTCCTGCCCACTACCAATCTGCCGGACCACAGACTTGCCAAGGTGCTGCCATGGGAGGTCAGGCTACCAGTACTGGGGTGGGGTGGGGCTGCCCTCCCACTACTCCAGTGAAGGCAGCACCTTCCTGGCTCCTCCCACCCTCTGCGAGTGGCACTCCAGAACAAGCTGTTGCTGCCAGAGTAAGAAGCTGCTAGAAGAACAGTGGCCAGGCCGGGTATGGTGGCTCACACCTGTAATCCTAGCACTCTGGGAGGCCGAGGCCGGTGGATTGCTCGAGGTCAGGAGTTCGAAACTGAGCAAGAGCGAGACCCTGTCTCTACTATAAATAGAAATTAATTGGCCAACTAGTATATATAGAAAAAATTAGCCGGTGGCGCATGCCTGTAGTCTCAGCTACTTGGGAGGCCGAGGCAGAAGGATTGCTTGAGCCCGGGAGTTTGAGGTTGCTGTGAGCTAGGCTGACACCATGGCACTCACTCTAGCCTGGGCAACAAAGCGAGACTCTGTCTCAAAAAAAAAAAAAACAACACAAACACACAAAAAACCCGATGGTCAAGGCTGACCCAGAGGCAGGGTCTGTTCCACTAGCCACATCAGATCACCTGGGCCACCTTCCCCTTCTTCCACCAGGCCCTGTGGAACACCTTAAGCAATAGGAGGTGGCTCCTGCACCGATGTACTCAGGGTGTTGACTCTGTGGGAAGATGCAGCCCTCCCTCCATGTCCCCTATCCCTGAGTGAAAATAACTTGTGAAGGGGATCCTAGGGGCTCAACAGACAACCAGGGACTCCAGGCCCAGGCTACCCCTCTCTGGCCCCTCAATAAAGGGCTGTGGGCACATTCTGGCCCTGGGGAGTCGGATGGGCACAGAGTGCCGTGAGCATCTTCCCCTCTCCGAGGAGGCCATCTTAACCCAGACCTTCTGTGACCTCCGTTGCCCTGCCATGCTCACTGCACACCCCCCCTCCAGACAGGAGAAACACACAGGAGGCCACAGTGTAGAGCCTGTGTTTATAGATCTCTGCCTGTCTCGTCCGTCCGTCCGTCTGTCCACCTGTGTGTATATATCTCTATGGAAGGGGAAAGGGCTCTTGTGTAAAAATCGAAAATACAATTCTGACTATGAACAACCTGCAGGATCAGTCCAAGTGTGACTGTGAGGAGGCAGATAGGCCCGTGGGACTCTCGCTCCTGACCACAGGCCCTGCCCAGCCCCAAGCCCCTCTTTCTGCCCACACTGGGGCTATGGTATTTGAACTGTGGTGCCCGAAGGCTGCAAGCCTGCCTTGCCTCCCCAGGACCAGCCCCGCACTGGGATGTGGGGGTTGGGCAAGCCACAGCCGACTGGCCCCCTCCTGGGGCCTCTAGGACACAGTGGGGTCCTTGGCTTTGGGAGGCTCAGACCCCATCAGCAGGGAGATGGTAGGGTCATCTGCATAGTCGTCCCCCTCAGAGAAGTAGGAGCCTTCTCCGAGCTCAAAGAGCACCGGCAGGTCTCCATTCCCAGTGTCCACAGGGCCGGGGTCCAACAGGAACAAGGGTTGCGCCGTGTAGTGCACCAGCTGCTTCCCTGCAGGGTGTAGTGGGGTCAGGGTGGTGGGCTGGGCAGGAGGTGGGGGTATAGGTGGGGAGTGGGGTATGGGGTGTGGCTCACCTGAGTCAGAGCTGCTGTTCTCAGCTTCAAGAGGCCTGGGGGGTTCCTGGGGAGACAGGAGCTCCTGGATCTGTAGGCATGGTGGTGGTATATACTATGGAGTGAGGGCTTCCACAGGTCATCCCCCCCACCCTGCCCTGCCCCTGCTTGCCTACGCACACTGGCCAGGCTGCTGTCAAGGTCAGGCAAGCTCATGTCGGGCACGGTCACTGAGGGGCTAAACAGCTGTGGAAGGAAGGAGGCCAGTCAGTGCCACACCTGTGAGCAGGGAGGGGCGGGGACAGGGGTAGACTCACGTCCAGCAGGGCGCTGGTGTCCACGCTGAAGCCATGGCTGGTCAGCATGGTCTGTAGGTTGTCCAGGTTGGAGTCCATGGCATCCAAGTGTTCACTGAGCTCGTTCCTGGCCCGGGATGAGTGGGCAGGTGAACCAGTGCCCAAGTCCCCCACCCAGATGCCCTCCTGCTGGAAAAGGGCTCCCTGTGGCTGTAGTCTCTCCCAAGCTGGGTCCCTCTCGATGCCTAGCATGGGCTAGAGGGAGACCACGTATGTGTGGATGGCCCGGAAGGCGGTGGTGAGCTCTGTGCCCTCCAACCATGGCAAGGAGGTGAAGGCCTGTGAGGCATTGGTATGGACTTAGGATGGGCCAAGGTGGCAGCAGAGGGCATGGGATGACTCAGCTCTAGAAATAGGATGTCGGGTATAGTTCTTCAGGCCTGATGAGGTTTGCTATTGCATTGAAAACCAAGTGAGGAGACGGGCAGGGAGTTGTGCTGTGTGTGGGTAGGTCAGCCCCTCCCCTGGCACTGCTGTGGGGGTGAGACTCAGGGTCTGGTGGCCATGACCAGGAAGGTCCTGGGGCACCAGGTACACCTGGGCCATGGGACGGGAAGCCAGGAGGCTCCTGGAGATGCTGCAGGCCTACCCCTCACTGAGAGGAAGGTCAGTCAGCACAGCAGCCCAGATCCTGCCTGCTGCAGTGGCCAAGACTGGGGCCTGTCCTTGTCACAATGACCTGGACCACTAGCCCGTGCCCAGGTTGTGAGGGCACGGCACCTGGTGGCCCTACCCAGATGCAGCGGGACCTGGGATGCTGTTCACCAGGCAGGGCCCATGACTTATGTTCAGACTGGGGTCTGGTCTGTGGCTGTGGGAGGGGCCCAAGCTCTGGCAGAGCCCTCCTCCCTCCCCAGTGGGGTCAGCGCTAACCCTGGCTGGACTCGGCCATGCAGAGAGGAAGAGGAGGGGCAGGGGAAGAGGCGGGCGACCCCAGACATCTGTGGAGTGCGAGCCAAACTGCAAGATACAAAGACAAAAGCCCCCCCCCCCCATTGCAGTCGGGGACTGGGCAGGCTCTGTGCCTGTCCTCGCTTGCTCAGCCTCCAGGCAAGGCCTAAGGGGTGGTCAAGGCCAGGCCTGCTCACCATCTCCTGCACCCATCTGGGAAGCATGACAGTTGCAAGGACCCTGTCACAAGAAAGGGTGACAGCAACAGCAAGGGCAGCTGAGAGAGCAGGTGTTACCAGGACACCTGGGCAGGTACCACCAGGCTGCCCTGCCATGCACCTTGGTCCCTGTGGCATCTGGGGATGTGGGGCAACCTGGTTGGTAGCCATGTCCCTCCCGAGCCCCAAGCTCTGATGAGGTCAAGGTTGGGGGCCAGGTCTGCCTTTCCTTGTCCCAGCAACCCCTGAGCCTGCAGGCCTGGGGGTCAGGGTGGGTGTCCTGCCTTGCTGGCTGCCTTGTATGCAGCCCTCCAGGATGGTCTGAACTAGAGCCCAAGGCTGTGCTCCAAGGCTGGGGTGGGCAGCACTCACTTGTCCAGGCAGGCTACGCTGAGGCACTTCTCAGGGGTGGAGGTGGGCAGGGGTGAAGGGGAATGGCCCCTGGCATCTGTGTGGCCCCCAGTGTTGGCATCTGTGAGGGCTGTGGCCGAGGCGGGGGTGGGCTCGCTCTCCCGCAAGATGGAGTCAATGAGGGCGGTCGGGGACAAGGGGGTGTCCACAGAGGACGGGTGTCCGGGACTCGCCTCCTCCACCTGAGGGCTCCGAGGCGGGCTGGAGGGCTCCTCCTTGACACGCACCAGGGGGCTGCCGGACAGGGGCCTGGACAGGGGTGGGTGGGGGCATGTCAGCAGGAGCCCCAGCTGGGCCCACCCCACTCCCAACTCCACCAAGGGCCCACAGGGGCTCCCCTAGTGGGGGGACAAGAGGGCTGGGGGTGACGTGGCTCCCACCTCTCGTCTATACTCCTGCCTGGGGAGGCCATGGGGCTGGTGGGGGCCAGCTCAGTGATGTCGGAGATTATGGGTCCGGAGCTGGCAACAGTTTCTGGGGGGTAGAGGCTTGAGCTGCTGTAGGCCGGAGATGGAGCCTGCAATCAAAGGCAGGAGGCCGCATGTGGCTTATGCTATGGCCATACCACCCCGATGCCCACCGACCCACGGTGCCTGGTGCTCACCGTGTAGGGGCCTGAGCCGTGGACGTGCTCCAGGGAGTACTGGCGGCCGTACTTGGGCACGGAATGTGCCGAGCTGCTGTCGTTCAACATCAGGGGGCTGCAGGGAAGGGTGGGGTTAGCTGCCTCCCCTGGCCTCAGCAGTACCTGGGACACAACTGACAGAGGACAGGGACCCCCTGGGTCCTGTGCAGAGGATGCAGGTGTCCCCAGAGCCTCACATCTTCCTCTTCACTCCCAGGATCCGGTTTGACTGCACCAGTGAGATCAGGAACTGAATGAGCTGTGGGTAGAGAGGATACAGTCATCCAGGCCCATTCGGGGGAGGGGGGGTCCCTGTTGGCCTGTTGGCCTGCCAGCCCTGCCTCTACCTTGTTGACGACTTTCTGCTGTTGGGCGTGCTTCTGCCGCAAGCTGGCCACCTCCCGCCACAGGGCCTCGTTCTCACTGAAACACACGAGGATGTGTCAGTGGGGTTGCAACCAGGTGCACCGGGCAGGGCTGGCCTGGTCCTCCCGGGGATAAGGATTGCCGTGTGAAGGGGCTGGGGAGGCCAGGGCTCTTCCTGGCCCTTCCCAGTGTGGCTGTATTCCAGAGTCACACAAAGGTACCCAATGGGGTGGCTGCAGAAGAGGCAGGCCCCCAGACAGGTGGCAGACCCTTGAACTCTGCCTCCCACCCCAGCATCTCTGCCCCATGGAGGCCCAAGGAGCGGGGTTCAGGGAGGACACTGGTAGCCCAGCTCTTCAGGCTGCAGAGCAACACATAGGGGGGTGTCCTATGCCTTGCAGGATGCTTGGGGCCTGCACCAGGCTCAGGTGTGGCTCACAGGTGGCCCTGTGCAATAGGGAAGAGTGGCCCCAGCACCGTCTTCCCCCACCAGGAATCAGGCCACGAGTGCACTCCCATTGCTCTGCTGATGGCCCAGCCATGCTGCCACATGTCTTCCTGACACACAATCATCCTTCCTGGCCTGATCTCAAGAGGCACCAGTGTTCTGGGCTGAGGACAGCCACCCTGGGGTTGGGGTTCCTGAGCCCTGAGGACCCCAAAGTGGGTAGAAGCAGATGCAAGCCAGCCTTCCTGGGTGGCCTTGCCTTAGTTTCTCAACTGCCAACCATGTGCTAGGCCCCTGCTAAGAGCTTCACCAGGGTCCTGGCTGAAGAGGGGGCTGTAGGGTGGGTTATGTGTGCCCAGACACATGCCAGGGGCAGAGGTTGCAGAAAGAATGCTCCAGAAACCTGAAGTGCTTCCCACCCCCAGGCCTGAGGTGCAGGTAGGTGGGAATAGATAGGGGCACCCTGCATGGTGTGATGCCTGGGGCAGCAGGAGTCATCAGAAGGGTGGGGAGGGTAGCAGGGAGCCAAACAGTCACAAGGCCTGCTGTGGCCAGTCTCTGCCACCCCTGGCCTCTGGGTGTGGGGGCTGCAGGGCAGCATCTGTGCACTCAAAAGCAGGCTGGCTGGTCCTGCTGAGCTTGGAGCCCAGCTGCCTAAGGCTGTGGGAGCCTAGCAGAGGCCAACCCTCCCAGGAATCAAGGACTGCCAGCAGGGGCATGGGGTGGGTGCCAAGCAGGGGCCCTTCCCAGTCTGATTCTTTTTTTTTTTTTTGAGACAGAGTCTCACTTTGTTGCCCAGGCTAGAGTGAGTGCCGTGGCGTCAGCCTGGCTCACAGCAACCTCAATCTCCGGGGCTCAGCGATCCTACTGCCTCAGCCTCCCGAGTAGCTGGGACTACAGGCATGCGCCACCATGCCCGGCTAATTTTTTTTTGTATATATATTTTTAGTTGGTCAATTAATTTATTTCTATTTTTGGTAGAGACGGGGTCTCGCTCAGGCTGGTTTCGAACTCCTGACCTTGAGCAATCCGCCCGCCTGGGCCTCCCAAAGTGCTAGGATTACAGGCGTGAGCCACCACGCCCGGCCCCCAGTCTGATTCTGTATTTAGAGAATGGTAGGCCCAAGGGCTGTCACAAAAGCCACAGAAAACAGGGCTAGGGAGGGGACAGGCTCTGCACAGAGGTGGTGAGGGTGGAGGCTGCAAACCCTTTGCCCAGGATAGGGCCTCCTTCCCCAACAGCATGCACAGCCTCATTGGGGTCCCCAGACAAGGCACTGCCCACCCTCCCTGGTGCAGGACCTACTGCTTCATGGCCAGGAGCTTGGAGTCCATGCACTCTTGCCTGCCCTTCATCAGCTGCACGTCCGTCAGCAGCTTAGTGACGCTGTCCTGGCGGATCTTCATGTCCTCGCTCTTCAGGGTGGACACCTGGATCCCGAGGGGGAGAAAGAGTCACTGAAGTGGCCAGAGCTTGGCAAGCTCCCAGGCTGCAGCCCCACCCAGGGAGGGGGCAGGGCCTGGGACATAGCTGGAAAAGTCATGAAAGGTGTGGCCAGGACAGCTGCAGGGAGGTCTGGGGGAGGAGGCTGGGCAGAGGCTGGCAACTCACACTGGTCACTTTCCTCTTAATATTCTCCAGGAGCTGCTCCTGGCCACGCAGGAAACAAGGGTGCTGGAACTCAGTGTCGTCCCTCTCAGGCTTGACCAGGCCACCCTGCTCAATGTGGACCACTTTCCGGAAGCCGTCTGCACATAACGAGTGGATGTAGCACTGCCTAAGGCCTAGGGACCAGACCCCCCCCTGTGACAGCCTGGCCACTGCTCCATAGCAAGCAATGAGCAGTTCCTGAAGGGCTACACTGGTGTGGCCCTGGCTAGACTCCACGCTATCCACTCAGAGCTTGTGCCTGGGTGGTCTTAGTCTAAGGGAGATCCATGTCCCCACATCTCCCCTCCCTGATGCATGTGGGAGTGTGGCTAGGGCTTCACAGCTCTTCTCTGGGGACCCTAGGTTCACACCCACAAAAACCTTTCCCTCAAGAAAGAAGTGCCCACCCTAGGCCCCCAGCTTTCAGGGCTCCACGCCATGCTCTTGGCCACCGCAGAGGGTTCAGTCCTTCACACTCAGGGTGGGTCAGCTTCTCCACACCCCAGGCTGGCTGCCTAGTACCTCTGAGCAGGGGACCCTCGCCCCCACAAGCCCGGTGGGGTAGGCACACTCACACATGTTGAGCTGCCGCACGAAGCTGGCCATATTGTTGTGCTTGAAGTACTTGGGCAGCACCTCCTTGGCGAACTGGCCCTGGTCGAACACGTGGAAGCTGTTCCCGCTCTGCCAGGAGACACATGGATGGGTCATGTGTGGTGGAAAGACACAGAGGTATCTGTGCCCTGAGGGGACCCCTCCCCATGAGTCGGGTAGCTCACATTCCTAACCCCACAGGGCTGGGGCCACAGGGGGACCCAGAAGGGCTGGTGAGAATTCACCCCTCAGTATCTGCACTGAGGCACAGGTCTGGGTGGTGGCCAGATGCTCAGTTTACATTCATGAGACACCCATAGCACTTGGAGCCCATTCTCTAGAGGATCAGTATTTAGTTTTAATCGGCAAGTTTTCCTTAAGAACAGCTAAGACCCCAAATTGAGGCAGCCAAAGATATGGGAATCTAATTTCTGTTACATTGAAGGAAATACAATTGTTTTCAGAAATACAAACTTTACTCCTCTTTCGGCACGTAAGACAAGAAATATCGACTGTCAGAAAGTGCATACACGGGAGCTGACCAGGCAAGAGTCTTTGCTGGCTGCAGTCATGGTGGCTCAGAGAAGGCGCCAAGATGGAAGGATGGAGAGGCCCAGAGCAGGGCCAGAGAAGAGCATGCAGGGCATCTGCACAGGAGTGGGGGCGACTGAGCTAGGTAATGCACCAATTAAAGACAGAGCAGGCTTCTCCCTGCTGAAGAAGGGAGTTATAGCTGGGGACAGGGGAAAGCCAAAAGGCCCCTGTGGTGTTGGACTAGAACTGGAATACTGCTCTTCAATATAGAAAGACAGAAGAATAAACATGGGTGTGAACATGTGAGAGGAATGGGAACAGCATAGAAAGGGGCTCCAAAGCAGCAAGGGGAAAGCTGGTAAAAATGTTAGTCAACTTTTCCAGAATGCTGAACATTAATGGAAGAATTGCAAGCAGTACGGGGAATGTTTATTCAAGAAAAGCAGTTGGAGCTCAATAAGAACAGTGAGCACTGTGGTATTTTACCCTGACCTGTTCCTGTTCTATCTCAGCTGCAATCACTGGAACCAGTGACCTGGCAGCCCCTGGGGGAGGAGGGCCCAGAGCTCCTTCAGGCCTTGCATGGCAGCACCCTGGGAGCTCCCACTTCTCAGGCTGTCTTGGATTTGACTTGAAGCTCTCCCAATGCAGAAAAGCCTTTTCCTAGGAGTGCTTGTTGAAACAGCTGGAGACAATTTTTAAATGCTGTGGCTGCCTAAGGCAGTGTGTAACAGTTGGGGACAACAGAACACTTAAAAGAAAAAGCTGGAGAATGAAGTATCACTAAAGGCTCTGAAAAATCCCCAGGAACCCAGAAGCCATGTTCATGAGCAGACCTGTGCTCTCATTGAGGAAAGTCATGAGGAAGCCCTAAGCTGTCACCTCTGGCTGACCTTAAGGCTCTGTGTAAGCACCAAGGGAAAGCTAAAAGGTCTGTCAACCATCTGGCGGAGTACTGAAGGTGTGCCCCAACATAGAGTCCTCCCAAAAAGACTGGAAGATTCATTGCCCCTAGGCTCTTTAGGAGCACCAATCCAGAAAAGCCACCAAAGTACAGTTGCAACAAACTGTAACAGCAATGAATCCTGGGAAATGGGAGAATCTGAGCTCCAGAGTTGCCACATTATATTAATTAGAAATCTAGTTTTCAACAAAAATTATGAGATGTGCAAAGAAAGAAGAAGGTATGGCCTATATACAGGGGGAAAAAAAAAGGCAATCAAGAGAAACTGTCCTGGAAGAAGCCCAGACCCTGGACTTACTAGACAAAGATTTTAGGTCAACTATTTTAAATATGTTCAAAGAACTAAAGCAAACCACATCTAAAGAACTGAAGTAAGAGAATGATACCTCACCAAATAGAGAAAATCAATAAAGAGACAAAAATTATAAAAAAGCATTAAACTGAAATTCTGGAGTTGAAAAGTATAATAACTCTTCAGAGTTATTATAAAAGTTCTCCAGAGGGGCTCAAGTGCAGATGTGAGCAGGGAGAAGAAGGAATCGGCAAACAGGAAGATAGGTCAATTGAGATCATCCAGGTTGGGGAAAAAAAGAAAAAAAGAAAGAATAAAAATGAACAGAGCCTCAGAGACCTGTAAGACATCATCAAATGTACGACATATACATAATAGGAGTCTTTGAAAAGTGATAGGGACAGAAAAAAATATATGAAGAAAAAAATGCCCCAAATCTCCACTAATTTGATGAAAAAATATCTAGGAAGCTAAACAACTCCAAGTAGGATAAACTCAAAGAGATTCCCAACTAGACATTTCATAATCAAACTAGCAAAAGCAAAAGGCAAAGTAAGACTCTTGGAAGAAACAAGAGAATAGACTCATTGTAAAAAAGGAATCCTTAATAAGATTAACAGCCAATTTCTCATCAGAAACCATGAAGCCAGAGACAGTGAGATGACATATTAAAAATGTTAAAGAAAAAACCCTGTCAGTCAAGAATTCTAAATCCAACAAAACTATCCTTTGAAAATGAAGGAGAGATTTCCACTTCTGGGATGGCAGTGTCAGGAGCTTTGTGGAAGCAATTCCCAGTGAAACAAGCAAAACTTATTTAAGTCTCTGGCAATTGTCCTAAAAGCATATGACAAATAACAAAAACATTTACTCAATAAAATCTGTTGAAACTTGGTAAGAACAGTGAGCATCTGTGGTATCTGAGCTATAACCCACTCTCTCCCAGCTCACCATGGTGGACACTACATTCTGGAAATGTGGGGCCAAGATGGGGATCCCTCAGTTCCCAGTCCAAGCTTACTGTATGTCACTTGGATGGGCAGACAATCAGAATTTCTCATCCTCTCCAACTCCAAGTTGAAGAGACTAAATTCCTGCTGAGTGTGACCAAGTAGTCAGAGTTTTTCTTCCTCCGCCTTGCCCCTACTCACAGAATGCAGGCTCTACCTCAGACACAGCAGGCTGAGAGAATACTGGGACTCTGATCACCCTCCTGCCAGTCTGCATGCAGAGGAGAGTATGCATGCTGAGAGAGTCAAGCTGAGTAGGCCAGAGGCCACTGCCCTGCCCTGTACCCAGAGTAGTGGCTCAGAGAAATTTGCCCAGGAAGAGGAAGTCCATAAGGGAAGAGCTCTAAAGGTTTCCCCAAGGAAACTCACTTTATCCCAAAGTTCAAGCCCAAGAGTGCTCTTAAAAACAGTAACTCCTCTAAATTAATAGTAACGAGTTAGACTACAGCCTCAAAAACTACCACAGCCCAAAAAAAAAAAAAAAAAAAAACCCACAGAACCCCCCCAACAATTCGACAATACTGCCCTGAAAAATCCCAAAACAAAAAATAAAACCCCAGCACTACTCAAATTTAACTGAAGCAGATTGCTGAAAAATTTGTGCCCCAGAGCACCGTCAAAAACAATAGAGTGGTGGTGAACACTTTGCTGTTCTGGACAAAAACAACAACAACAAAAAACAACAATAGAGTGGCTGGGCGTGGTGGCTCACACCTGTAATCCTAGCACCTCTGGGAGGCTCAAGGTCAGGAGTTCGAAACCAGCCTGAGCAAGAGCGAGACCTGTTTCTATTAAAAACAGAAACAAATGAATTGGCCAGCTAAAAATATATACAAAAAATTAGCCAGGCCGGGCGCTGTGGCTCACGCCTGTAATCCTAGCTCTTGGGAGGCCGAGGCGGGCGGATTGCTCAAGGTCAGGAGTTCAAAACCAGCCTGAGCAAGAGCGAGACCCCGTCACTACTTAAAAAAAAAAAAAAAAATAAAAAAAAAAAAAAAAAAATAGCCAGGCATTGTGGCGCATGCCTGTAGTCCCAGCTACTCCAGAGGCTGAGGCAGGATTGCTTGAGCCCAGGAGTTTGAGGTTGCTGTGAGCTAGGCTGACGCCATGGCACTCACTCTAGCCTGTGCAACAAAGTGAGACTCTGTCAAAAAAAAAAAAAAAAGGAAGGAAGGAAGGGAGGGAGGGAGGGAGGAAGGAAGGAAAATTAGCCTGGCGGTTGTGGCACACACCTATAGTCCCAGCTACTGAGGAGGCTGAGGCAGGAGCATTGTTTGAGTCCAGGAGTTTGAGGTTGCAGTGAGCTGTGATGACACCACACTGCACTCTAGCTGGGGGGACAGAGCAAGACTCAGACTAAAAAAAAAAATAGTGGGACACCTTTAACCACTTCGGTACAGCGCTCACCGGCCATGAAACCTTGCCCACAACTGGCACTCACAGTCCACACGACAGTTTGTGTTATGCATTGACAACGGATCCGTTTTGCTCTTGTGTGATTAGGAAAGCTTTAAAGTACTGAAAGCTTATTTTACTTTACAGGCAGCTTTACTTGTAATGCAAATCAGAATAGGTAACATATACATATATGTTTTTATTATGTTATTTTTAAATGTTCACAATTTTATTTTGATAAATGAAAAATTAGAAAAGTCATATCACGGCTGTCGGCTAAAGTCGATGCTCGGCTCATCTATGTCTATCAACTATAGTCGATGCTTGGCTGTGTGCGTTCATCTGTGGCTGTCACTATAGTCAATGCTCATACCGAACTGGTTAATTACACCAGCATACATGTAATAGGAGTACCATAAGGAAAGGAGAACCAGAAAAAGTATTCAAAGAAGTAAGGCCTGAAAACTCCCAAAATTTACTAAAAAAAAATTCATGAATATGGTATGTCTCTATTTACTTCAATCAATTTTCTTTGTTTTATAATTTTATGGTTTTTGCATACAGATATGTACACGGTTTATTAGGTTTACACTTAAGTGCTGCCCAGGCTGGAGTGCAGTGGCACCATCATAGCTCACAGCAACCTCAAACACCTGGGCTTAAGTGATCTCCTGCCTTAGCCTCTGGAGTAGTTAGAATTACAGTCACTTGCCACCACACCCAGTTTATTTTTCTATTCTTTTTTTGTAATGACAGGGTCTTGCTCTTGCTCAGTCTGGTCTCAAACTCCTGGCTTCAAGCAACCCTCCCGCCTCTGCCTCCCTAAATTCTAGGATTACTAGAATTCTAGGTTTGTCAAGTGATTTTTTTTAAAGCAATTATAAATGGGATTTTA